GGCGGGCTCCCCACTGGGCTGGAGGTAGGCTCCTGGCTAGGCTAGAAGGTAGGCTCCTGGTCGGGCTGGAAGGCAGGCTCCTGATCGGGCTGGAAGGCTGGCTCCTAGCCAGACTGGAAGGCAGGCTCCTAGCCGGGCTGGAAGGCAGGCTCCCCGCTGGGCTGGACGGTAGGCTCCCTGCTGGACTGGAGGCAGGTTGTTGGCCGGGCGGGCTGGAGACATGCTGCTGGCCGGGCTGGAAGACAGGCCATCTTGGGGCTTCTGCTCCTTGATGGGCTTGATCAGTTGGGCCAGCTTGAGCTCTAGGTCGCTGGGCCTAGGTCTGCTGGTCCAAGTTCGGGGCCTGGGGTGATTAGGCTCTGGGCCTAGTCCTGTAACCCCATCATTGTCCTCTGCACACCTGTAGCAGAGAATGATTCATTACACTACACAAGTCCATTTCTAGACTTCCAAATGCTCCATAGGAGCATAACAATTTTACAAATCCCATCACCAACTAACTTATCTAACATCAGCTTTAGCCAATTAGCAAAGGAGTCCACCTGCAACAATGAAGAAATACTAGTTTCCTCTCAGATTGATTTAGTTGCTTGGCATTTCAAGAATAAATGAAACAAAGACTCATCCTCAGTCCTGCAGATAGGACAGCTCCCCACCACCTGGATATGCCTTCTTTTCAAAAACTCCCTTGTTGGGAGTAACTCATTTGCAAGCTGACAGACAAAGATTTTCACCTTAGGAGGAATATGAAGCCGCCACGCTACAGTCCTCCCTAACCAACCATTTGGCTGAACATCACCTACCAACTTCCTATAACAACTACGAACTGTATACTGACCTTTGGAATCTTCACTCCATCGAAACCCATCCTCAACCAAATTAAAACTTAGAGGAATACTACAAATTAATAGAGCTTCTTCCTCGTTGAACATTGAGTTAACTCGCTGGATATTCCAGCTCTTCCCATCTTCATTTAACAAAGATGCCACATTCATATCTGCAATCCCCTATGGTTTGATTGAACACACCCTGCCCGACCCCTTCCCCGAAAGCCAAGCCTCTTTCCAAACAGAAATAGACCTACCGTTAGGATGGATTTACATTTAGGAATTGAAATTTATTTAAAATTAAATTTATATATATATATATATATAATATTAATAGGTTTATTTTAGAATTTGGAGGCCCATACAATTTGGGGCCCCTAGACATTTGTCTAGGTGAAAGGCCCCCATGGCGGGGCCTGCTATACACTGACGGTTCATCAACCGCCACGGCATGTGGAGGAGGCGTCGTCCTAATATCCCCTAAAGGATTCAGAGTGTACTACGCCATCCGCTTCAACTTCAGGGTATCCAACAATGAACCTGAGTAAGAAACCCTCCTCAGCGACTTTAGACTCGCCGCCGGCCTTAAAGCGTGACACATTAAGATCAAATGCGACTATAAGCTAGTGGTGGGTCAGATTGAGGGCTCATACGAAGCCAAGGATGGAAGGATGAAGCAATACAAGGAAGCAGCGGTGGAGTTGCGCAAGGCATTTGAAACCCATGAGATCACCCAGATCCCAAGGGTGGAGAATGCCGAAGCCAACATACTCTCCAAACTTAGCTCAGATACTCCTGAACACATCTCCAAGATAGCCAAGATTGAGGGGCTGAGCATGTTGAGCATCCACGCCAATCCCATCTTGTGCATCCAGCGGCAGCCGGAGGACTGGATCACTGACATCATAACTTTCATCACATATGAGGAACTACCTCAGGACGAGGAGAGAGCCAAATTAGCCAAACTTTGGGCCTCAAGCTACACCATAGAAGATGGGAGGCTGTACAAGAGGTCCTACAACGGCACTCTCCTCCTATGCCTACACCCAGATGAGGCCAAAGTAGCAATTGAGGAGGTACATTGTGGCATCTGTTCGTCAAACCAAGGCCCTTTCAGCATGTCCAGGCGACTCGACGTCCAAGGCTACTTCTGGCCGACGATGGCACAGGTTTGTGCCGAGGTAGCTAGGAAATGCACCGCGTGCCAACCCTTCCAAAGAACCCCCGGTCGGCCAGCAATCAACTATACCCCAGTTAGCACGGTCATCCCATTCTCCAGGTGGGGGATTGACCTGGTGGGCCCTCTTTCGAGAGACGCAGGCAATAACTGGTACATCATCGTTGCCATTGATTACTTCACCATTTGGATTGAAGCGGAGCCACTGGCTAACATCACTGAAGCACGGTGTCAGAAGTTTGTCCTCAAAAACTTCCTCACCCATTTCGGCGTTCCCCATGAGATCATATCAGATAATGGCACTCAGTTCGAGGTCACACCATTCCAAGACCTCCTCCAAGCATGGGGTATCAAGCCTCGTTTCTCCTCCGTCGCCTACCCTCAAGGTAATGGACAAGTTGAGAACGCCAACAGAACCATCTTGAAGAGATTGAAGAAGAAACTTGAGGAAAAAGGAGGCAGCTGGGTAGATGAGCTTCACAACATTCTATGGTCTTATCGCACCACGCCAAGGAGAGCAATTGGTGAAACACTGTTCGGCCTATGCTACGGCTTCGAAGCAAAGGCACCTACAGAAGTTACACTGCCCAGTCGAAAGGTCGAACAATATGACCCCGAAGCAAACGATGAAAACATGAAAATTGACATGCACCTCATCGACGAAAGACGCGAACAAGCCTACCTCAGGGTTGAAAACTATTTTTTGGGTATTTCATTGTTTGTGATTAAATTGAAGTTAATTTCTAAACAAGTGACCACATTTACATGTGAACAAAAAAGTGACTAAAAAGATAATAACTTTGGTAAAACTAGATATCAGTGTCACATTTGTATGTCACTAACATATGTCATTATAGGCGTCATATATGTCACTATTATCGTGAAACATGTCATTGTGAAAGTCGACAAAAATTCTAACGAAATTTTCTAGCGACTTTTTCGATAGAGTTTGGATATAAATTACAGTGCGAAAAAAATTAAACTAATTGATTAAAAGTTCAATTATATCTTCGGGAAAAAGGAAAAGTAATTGCTTTTTTGGTTCAAAAGAAATATGGGATATGTCCCAGAAAGCTAAATTGTTTATTTGTACGATCTCAGCCCAATATAGCTGAAGTACATGAGTGTTGGTCGAGTATGGCCCAATCCAGATGATCACAAACACAGTTTTCATCGGTTAACGCTTCAAGCAAAGCAAAGCAAAGTATTTCACGCGTTATCCAACTTTATAAGAATCATCAGAAACCGCTGGCAGCTTCGACCTATTTGACTATTTCATTTAAGAATGACAACATAAACGTCGTACCATTCACACATGACATTCAATCCTTAATCATAAGCATCCCTTAAAGTTGCCAATATGACAAAAACTGTTGCATCAAAATTAGTAATCCAACTTAGGGCTAATGGATTATGCCACCAAAAGCAGGCAGATCACCTGGTCATTTATGAAATGCCATTGTTTTGTCCCTGTCACCAGTTACACACACTGTCACACTTCATGGACACATCATTACTCCATGAGAGTTTTTGAAAAAAAGTAAAAACATCCCAGTGAACTTTGTCGTTTAGTTGAAATTTGTGCAAACGAGAGAGAATTAACAAAATGACAAATTAATTTATGTAATAAAAAAATGACAAGGTTTTTTTTGAACAATCAAAAAGGAAAAGTAGACAAAGTCCAATGTGACGAAGAGAATAGTCCTTTATCTATCTCATTAAGGTGGAAAATCACAAAAGAATATGTTTATGTTTTGGAAACTCTACAAGGTGTTTAAATGGTTGCTTCCGTGCAAAATAGGTTATACTTAAAAACACAATATCTTAAATAAATACATTTAATAAGTTCACTGTATGTAGCAGAAAATGCTAGGGGCGTCAACAATGGCAGGCTTAAAGCACCTAAACAAGAAAGGTATTGTGATAAGACCTGTCTGCTTGTATTACGTAATTAAAATCACTATTCAAAAATTTTTAGTGGATTGTTAACCAATGCAATGCTGTTAAAGGCTACTACTTGCGCAGAAAGCATATTAACAGAAGTTCAATTCACACACAGATGTCTTGGCCATTACCAGTTGCCACAACTAGGGTTGGAGCTGAAAACAGGCAGGAACCAGGCTGGTAAAGAACCAAGCCGGGTAAGGAACTGACTGGTCCGGTTCCGGTTTTGTTTTTATTTCATTTTAAAAATAGGCTAAAATTGGAACATGGCCGGTTTCCCTAGTTTAAGTTCTGGTTCCTCCCTACACCTACCAGAACTGCCGAGAACCGGATAAGAACCGGGCCGGGTCCACCTCTAGCCACAGAACATATGAGATGGATAACATAAACAGAATGTTTGTACATGTCTACTCACAAGACCGCATTTTTTCCAGCTCACAGTAAATGTTTGTTAAAAGCAAGATCTGAGAAACGAAATCAGCACACGTACAAAAAGAAAAATAAGGTCAAAAGGAACTTAATGAATTACCAACAGATCGGATGGAAGGATTTGGACAGGAGAACTTTGGATGGCTTAGCCTATATCTTGATATATGCTTCAGTTTTTCTAAAAATTGAAATAATAACACAATATGGGATTTCATAGCATTTCAATCTCCTTTCATTAATTTTTATAAACGCTCTACCCATTAAGACAGGACTAAGGATGTTTATAATTGGACTGTTTTCAATCCCAGACTAGACAGATCAGACCAAATCAGAACAGACCAGATTTGGATAGTTATAAAATACACAGAGTCCAGACCAGACCAGACCAGAAAATTTTAGTCTAAGTAAAAAGATCCTAAGGCCCCCAAAGCCTACCGGCCTTCCCCTCCAGAACCTTACACCATCATGTTTTGCGGGTAGTCAATAATATTACTACCTTAACTCAAACTGTGTTAAATTTTGTCGCATGAAAGTGATGAAACTTGAACTGTTAATTAATTGTCTGAAATCAGTTAAACTATAAATTAATGCAAAAAAACTCATATTAACAAGGTGATCAATTTGCCAGGACAGCTTAATCATCTGGATAACACCTTTGATTAAAACGCATTAAATCATAAGTATACCACAGCTGAAACAAAGAACTGTATAAGTATCAGGATTTCTAATTTCACATATATAAATTTTAGACAACTATTAATTTCACAGTTCCACGGTAATAATAACAGCATTACATACAGAAAAAGAAAGAATACCCCAAAGTTAATATTATTATCTTCGACAAAATACACATCACATTCAAATAATCAACAGTGAAACAAACATGTAACACAATAAATTCCAAAACCAAACCCAACTGATGCAAAACTGTTTCTTCAATCCACAAACCACCTCTCGCACCTCTATTCAAGTATGCTGGTTGATGTTTTCTGTGGGAAGCTGAGAAGAAGTTTCCGGAGGTATAACCGGGGCAGATTTCATTGTTTGGAATTGACCCGCGGACAACTGGGGTGCAAAAGGTGGCTGAGTATAGTATATCTGTGGTGGGAGTGTAGGATCAGAATATGCATAAGCATAGTTTGCAGTAGAAGCTGAAGTAGGTGCGGCAATTGACTGAGACGGGATATGATGAACCTGAGAGTATCCACCGGCATACTGACGCTGGCCAGGGGCATGCTGAACCAATTGCGGAGCACCTACAGTAGTGGGGGCCACTGTGGTTGAAGGAGGTGTTTGGGGAAGAGAAGAAGGGGCAGAAGAAGGGTCACTGGTTTGTTGGACTGGGAAATTGTATGCTTGTGTCGGCCTAGCCTGGACAATGTAAACTGGGTATGGATGGTCCATAGCAGGATGGTGTTGCTGTTGAGAAGGGTATAGAGGGTAATAAGATGTCATGGGCATTGCTCCAGTTGGGATATGGTGGACAAACTGCCCTGCATGAACATACTGTTGGTGCTGATGCATTTGAGGGTGGTGATCAAAATGGCTTGGAAACACATATCCAGAATCCTGAAGTTGCTGTTGTTGAATCTGAGCCCTACTGTTTGGATCATTGATCATTGGATCAACTGGACTGGCAGAAGCTCTAACCCCAGGCTGAATTTGCACAATAGGGTCTTGATATATGTAATTCTTTGGTCGGGCCAATGGGTTTGCTACACTACCCTCGCTGTGCCAAATAAAATATATCATCATCGCTATAATCCCAACTGGTTGGGGTCCATCTCATGAAACTTATAGCGCTAATTAATTTATAGCTATAAGATTAGTTAATCAAATCCATCTATCAACATAGCTTATTTCCGTTGCAATGAAAATATCATAACAGGTGATGAATTGAAACATGAAACATGAGGGAAAGCAAAAATCTGATTCGTTCATGAAATTTAAGAGAAAGATGATCATAGACGAGGAACAAGACCAGCAATTAAAAGTATAAGGTGTTTCGTGTACCTTGAAACTGAACCAGGGGAAGGCAAATCAGTAGGTTTAGGCTGCGATTGGGGAGGAAGCTGCTGCAGTGGTTGTGACTGTGGTGGCTTTGGGTAGCCAACAGCAGTGAGACCATGCTCAGATCTCTCATCATCAGAGAAAACTCGACTTGGATACTCCACCACAACCGGAGGAGGTGCAGGAGGTGATGTCAATGCCGCAAAGCCTCTCTCCTCCTGCTGTTTATGCCCTCCGGTCGCTGCTCCAATCGTCATCTGTGAAAAATGCTCCTCGATTCCGCCCCTTTGATTATCCTCAACTCGGACCCTAATAGGAGGCAAATTCCCCAAAGGAGTAGCGGAGGACGTCGAATCAAAAGAGGATGTCATTCCTAACATAGGAGAATCCGGAACAGATTGAACGTCTGGGAAATTCGCTTTAGCTTGGTTTACTCCGCCGTTTTTGCTGCCAATCGAACCATCCGGCAGAGCCTCCGCATCTTTTCCAGTTGAATTTCCATTAGCAACATCATCGTCGAGTCCCAGGAGGCAATTCACTGATGAAGACTCAGACAAGACCTTTGTGGAAGTCGAAGTCGCACCATTGAGCGCGCTGAAAAACCAGTCCTCTGACTTCGTCGAGCTCTCGATAAGCGACCCGATTGAGGAAATCGTGTCGGACTTGGATGGAAAAAGGAACAATCGGAGGCGAGAAGTCCTGGTACCACTAGAATTGGAGTTGATGCGGTCGTACTCATCGATCATGTTCTCTAGGTCCTCGTCTGTTGTGACGGAGATTAAGGAATCGAGCTCTTCGTTGGGGAGCTGATACTTGAGGGAGAAGGAGCGTCCGCCAAGGAGCGTTTTCGAGAGGCGGATTGATAAGTCGGAAAGCGAGGATTGCCGATCGGCGACAACGATCCGCGTGTCGCCACCAACGTAACAGAGGGACTTGTCGTGGGGCCGGGGAACTATGTGTCCGCCGTAGCTACACATCAGCCGCAGCTTTCCGGCGCCTGAAGCGGCGGCGTACGGTGGCGGTTCGTCCCAGGAGTCTGTGTTGCGGGACCGAGGGGAGGAGTCTACGGAGTCAGCGTAGTTGACGTGCGTTGTTGGTGGCGGAGGAGGAGGGGGGAGCTGTACCTGTTGACCCGCCGCCGCTATCATTGTGGACACTGCCGCCGTCACGGTGGGGAGGGGCGGAATATCCATAGACGGCCGCAGCGGATTTGTACGAATATGTTAAAAAATGGGGCAAGAGGTTTTTGACAGGCAGGATGTCCCTTGTACTCCAAATTCTCCAGCTGTTCAATTTTTTATTTGGAAATCTTTTTATTAATAGATCCGTAAATTACGTTACACACCCCAAATCTTTTTGAAAATAGAATTCTAGTCCAACACATATTACATTCAGCTACCTGATCTTCTATTTCGTTCCAAAAGCTCCGTTCCTTCTTTTCATTATTTCCTATTTTGTCGTGAACGTGAGATATGGAGCGCAATAAGGAGTAAAGACTACTAAGGAGCTTAGTATATTAGGATGTTTTTACTTAGACCGTAATTTGGTGGTCTGGTCTGGTCTGGTTTGGTTTCTTTATATTTTTATAACTATCCAAATCTGGTCTGGTCTGGTCTGATCTGGTCTGGTCTAGTCTGGTCTAGTCTACGAGGAATTACAGTCCAAGTAAAAACATCCTTACTCTCAAGTAAGGGCTCATTTGGTGACTCTTATTTTCGTTTCATCAATCATTCAATTTGTTGATGAAAAATATAAATTTTGATTTTCTGTACTGAATTGTATAATTATATTTGAAGTTGTGAACTAAGAGTCAATTTCGTGACACTTGTAACTTTTGATTTTGATCTTGGGTCGAGTTTTTGTTAAATCCGAAAATTACTTAGATTATCTCGATTATGAAAGTTGTGGGCCGGAAAAGGAGTCATTGAATATAATCTCAGTCGAGTTTCTAGTAGCCCGGATTCAATGCGGATTCGGATATGACCGGTTAAAGCCCGAACGAGGAATCCTCATCTTGTCCATTTTATATTTTAAAACTTATTGTCAAATAAAATTAATCAAAAATATAAATAAAAAATATAACAATACAATTTTTAGACCCAAAATCAGCAACAATTTTAACTTATCTTAATATTGCACTAAAGATACATATAAATAAATAATGAAGGCGTTTTTCAAAAATATTACTAGGTACTAAATAAAACTTAGGGATAGTAGTGATTAAATTGACTATGAATATCTTTTTACATATAATTGAACATGATCGTAATCACTAAAAGTTACTCAGTCATATTTTTGTTAACTATTCTTATTTTAATAATATATTACAAAATATTTCTAAATAATATTTGTAGTATATTACATTGATTTTTTAATAAGGTTAATTATTTCAGTTTTTACCAGCCCGGATCAAATTATAGGTTTTAGGGGCCATTAGTGAACCCGAGTTCTCAGGCTCAGTATGGGCATTTTTTATTTCGACCGCCTAAAAAGACAAAATGGGCCAGTAAAAAATTCTGGACCGAGCCAGGGCCGATTCTCAGGTTTCGGTTCGGTTTTTCCCACCCTTAATTAGTCTACATTGAATTCCTCTTCTTAAATCGATATGTCTAAATATCGTTCATTGATAATAAAAATTACATTCCCTCTCATTTTCAATTAATTATCGCTTTTCCTTTTTTGAATCCCACAATAAAATTCATATTTCTTTTTTGGTAACTTTTAATAATGAAATGACAAGTATACACTTACCCTATTTATACCTACACTCTATATTTACCTCATATACCTATACATGTATTTTTTATAAGCATATCACAGGGAAATCAATACTACGAAGACTTATTTTTAATAACCTTAAAGTGAAATTAGGAACTTATATGGGAAGTGGAGAGAGTATTTAATAAAAATGTACCCTACTACACGATTCTTGCACCATTTTAGAATGGAAGGCGTCCCCATAGTTTCTAAATACCAAATTTCTATATAAAATAAACCATTTTGGTTCATACACATTTTTCAAAACCACACAAGGCCTTGGACCATGTAATTTTAAAGAACATAGCTGATTGTTTGGATTTTCAATTCCAAATTACAACTAGCATCTGAAGTAGGATGCGTGGCTATTACAATCACATAATCTAATTTTGCAGCTCAGAGCTCTCCTTCCCATGGATTGCGCAAGGCACCTCTGCGGTGCGGCAGAGGATCCAAATCCGACATGGACATAGTTCGATTCTAGCCCCGAATCGATCGGTTTGGGAAATTTAAAAATGTGAGCTTGGAAATAGGACTTTTACTGTCATTTATGAGTTGTATTAGAGCATCATCAATGCTACAATATGCACGGTGTATATGTAGCATAAGAAAGATAAAGAGCATGTTTGGCATTCAGCGGTTAACGGTTAATGGATTATGTCAGCGGGTTGTCAATAGCGGATTCAGTCGGCGAGTTTGAGCAGAGAAATAAATTGGCGGGTTGTTAGAAGATGTTTGGTAATGTAGCTGTTTGGCCATAAAATTAGTAAAAAACGACACTTTTTAAAACGCCAACCCAAAACTCTCCTATTAGCAGCGTTTTCATTTCACTGTTTTCATCCAAAAGCGCTATTGCCGAATCACTATTTACCAAACAGCTATTTCACTTATTGAAAACGCTGAGAGTAGTCAAACATCCATTTTTCGGCTAAAACGCCGTTTACCAAACACCCCCAAAAAAGGTGTACGTCGTTTCTTCTTTTCTTTTCACGATCTTATGTGTTTATGGTAACTTTTTCTCAACAATGTCAACTAAAATGTCTACATGTAGACATACTTGACATTGTCAACAAAATTTTACCAAAAACATAAAGGGTGTTGAAATAGGAAGAGAGATATTTTACTTATTAATGTTTATGTGTTTATCTCTCTCATGTCACGTATACGCTTTGCATATTGTAACATTGATGATGCTTTTGTACTCAAATTGGCTTTTATAATTTCACAAAATTGATGGACACCTAGAATAATAGTATACTATTCCCATCTCTTTTTATGTGTCAGGTTTTGGTTAGGCACATTGTTAATAAATTCGTTTAAAATGTAAAAATTGTAGTTAATATTTGATTATAATAAAGTGAAATGATATGGACCATATATATTTCCAAAATGGAAATGTGACAGTTATTCTAGAACAATCCAAAAACCAAACTAAGACAAGTAAAATGGGATGGAAGGAGTAGTAGAAATGGTGTCGTTGGAACCTATTGAGTAGAGAAATAATAAGAATCACACATTAATTGCTTAATTGAGAAAGGATATGTTTTCAGTACAATCAAAACATAAAAATTGATAAGATTGTAAGAGACAGAGTAATATCATCCAATAAATGAGGTGAATAAAGAATAAATCATACTACATCAGTCCCACTAACATTAAGACATGATGAGGTGTTGCAATTATAAAAAAATGAATTTATTTGGTTGATATTGTAATAAAGTAAGGATAATGTAAGAATAATTAATTATTTGAAACCAAATAAATTTTACCAAAATTGTTATGAGATGATCTTTGTGGGACATATCAAAAAGAAAAGATTGAACAATTTTAACGGGACAAAGGTGTAACAAGTATTGTCAAAGTGGATTAATAGATCAATTCACTAAAGAGGGAGGAAGAATATAATGAGAGTCGCCTACGGACCATCACATGAAAGAAAAAGAAGTGGGGCTCATGCAAAATACAAATCACAATTTTATTTAAAGTGTTATAATTTTTTTATTTATACTCTAAATTTAATTTCATTAAAAAGTATATCAAAACTTATAACTTATTATGATATTTCATATGATGCCTAGTTATATTGCATATATAAAGTTAAAAAAATATAAAGTTTCAACTATTAGAGGCTTTTCGATTCAAAATATTTCTTAAATAGATTCGTTACGATTAAAATCTCATGATTGTTTACATCTTTCAATTATTTTTTTTAAATAAGACTGAAGTAATAACACCTAAATTAAATTAAACTCCAAACTTGATGTATAAGGATGTTTTTACTTGGACTGTAATTTGTTGATCTAGTCTGGTCTGGTCTGGTCTGATCTGGTCTGGTCTGGTTTCTTTGTATTTTTATAACTATCCAAGTCTGGTCTGGTCTGGTCTGGTTTGGTTTGGTCTGATCTGGTCTGGTCTGGTCTGGGACGAATTACAGTCCAAGTAAAAACATCCTAACAATAATAACAATAAAAGAAATATTTTAATTAAAACACTTTGCTAAGTGAATATTTGATGGAGAATTTGTTTATTGATGAAAGTGTATTTTGTGGTTAACGTTTCACACTTTCACGAGAGATAAGATGCGGAATGAATCAAAGTTTTGGTCCATTTACGTAATCGCTTACGTCTATACAAGTCTTCTAAATGATTTGTAATAGGTAAATCGTTCTTAATATTTTACATTGCATATCTAACTTTTATCTAGGTTGAGTTATTTATTGGCCACTTTTAATATAATTTTTGAATATGTAAATTTTATTTATTAAATATTATGCAGCATCTTATTATTAACAAGAATCAGTTAAATTTATAAATATCATAAATTGTGATAGAACTTTTATGTGGGATGGAGGGGTGATGGCTTACTCTTTCAAATGTTAATTAATAGTTACTACCTCCGTCCCACTAAGATTGTGACGAGAGAAAGTTGCATGATTATTAAGAAAAGTGGGTTTGTGTGGTTGATATTAAATTGATAAAGTAAGAATGGTTTAGAGTCACACAATCTTTAACAAATTTGGTATGGGACAATCTTAGTGAGACTTCCCGAAAAGGTAAAATGAGATAATCTTAGCGGGACGGAGGGAGTACTTAATATTAATAATTCTAGAGGCACAAGTGCATGTACAACTGTGTTAATTGTAATTGATGTTTACGTAATTTTGGGTAATTTCTTTAATGATTTTAATTTTAATTTGTGATATTGATGATGATTAACGATGTTTTCTTTTGGATTGATTTCAATCTCAGATCAGGCCATATCAGATATAAACAAATCGGACTAGATCATACCAGACATAAACAGATCAGAACAAACTTGATCAGCAAATTTACACAGTTATAAGATACACAAAGATCAGACATTTACCAGACCCGACCAGACCAATTCCGATCAGACCAGATCGAAGTAGACTTAAATAGATTAGACCACACCAGATCAGATCAGAACAGACTAGAACACCAAATTTCAATCCAAAAATAAACACGTAAGTCACTACCAATACACAATCATTAAAGAATGCAGGTTGT